GGATCAAGCATAATTATACCCAGATCTGGCACCTAAAATTAGGTTCTACCAGACCGTTTCAGTCATTTCAGAATCAGTTGATCTGAGCCCATCAGACCTTCTCAGATCTGGATCCACCGTAGTCACTTCAGATCCGGGTGTACCTGTCACTCCACTTGATCCGATCGCTTCCTGTCTGCAATTTCTCGGATTCCACTTCACCACATATTCTCGGGATCGTCTCGCAGTTCGGGTGCGTTTCACCCATCGTACATCCTGAATTGACTCCACTTCAAACACATCATTCGAGCTATCAGGCTCCCAACTGTCTTCAGCCAATAGTGCCTGCATCGAAATCATCATCATCTGCATCGTTAACCTCGACTGTTGGTCTCTTTGGGAAAACTACTCGCGGCTTGAGTCAGCTAATGTGTACCCAAGGGTTAACACGATAGCCTGTATCTTTCACCTTCAGTCTCACACGGAAGTCATCCCGGAATTCCATCGATCCTGAATGGCCCGTGCCACATGTGTACTAACGTCCGGCTCAATCCAGTCTGAACTTTCGGGATGTAGAGCCAAACGGAGTCGCCCTTCTCAAAACCAGCTTTGCTTTCTAATAGTTCCAACCACTTCCGGGTTTGTTCGTCCGAGCGCATTTTCTTGGCCTTCTTCTGGAGATCCTCAGCGCAAGCGAATGCGTAGCTGTACTCACGCTGTAGTTTCCGTCGCCACTCATAGGCGCTACGCTAGGAACGCTCGAAGGTTTTGGTCCCAACATTGCCGAAACCGTACTTCGGCCATCCCAACCATGAACCAAATAGAAAAGGGTGTCCAGTCTAGTCGCGTCGAACGAGACATTCAGGGCGAACATCAGTCGCTCAGCGTGGTCATCCAAGTCGGATTGATCCATCTCGGCGACATAGGCTCGAACACTCCGAATAACCGTTTGTACAGATCTCTCCTGCTGTTCATTCGCCTGTGATCCGAGTGTAGCACGTTGTCGCCTACCTAAGCGTTCTCGGAACCTTGCGAACAATTCACTCATGAACCGCGGATGCCGATCGTGTCGTATCATGGAAGACGTCCCGAATCTCTGAAACACTTGCTCCTCATAAGCCTCAGCGACATCTTGAGCGGTAGTAGACGACATGGATTTACACATCACATAACCTGAAAACATGTCTTGAAACAACAAGAGGAACGTATTCCCACTGGCTGACTCGGGCATATGAGTCACGAAATTCATAGAAACTGCCTCGAAAGGATACCGTGGTTCGATGTTTCCTGGCGAAGGCCCAGCATTCGGGGGAGCTCCTTTTCCACTGGCACAGTCCACGCATTCTTTCACAAAATGTTGGACGTCCGCGTAAATGCCGGGCCAGTAGAATTCGGTACGTAACTTCTCATGAGTCCGGGTGATCCCTTGATGTCCACCTTGGAAATCTTCATGCGCGTGATGCAACATGTCTTCCCGAAGTGAACTCGGGACTGCCAGTCTCAGATTATCGACGGCGTCTCGGGGTCTTCCGCGAACAGAGTGGGGAAGTCTCTACAATATATCTCAGTCATCCAGAACGAACAGATCCGCGACCTTACTGATCTTCTTCAGGCGTGTGGATGAGAACCTGTCCAGGTCGTCATTTAGGAACGCCCTTATCTCTGCTAGATACCCGTCTTCTTCTTGATGGACCTTGATCCGTCTCCAGCGTTCAGCCTGAA